TAGGCCATTATCTTGGACTACCAATTGTTTTTGGAAAAAACAAGACCGTGACATTTGGCTTTTTAAATGAGAATTTGGTAGCTCGAGTTATGGGATGGACGAAACGTCTTCTATCCTATGAAGGGCGTGAGGTTTTCCTAAAATCAATTGCCCAAGCACTACTACAGTATGCAATGTCCTCTTATCTTTTGCCAGAATCTTTACTTAATGACATGGCTTCTGTAATTCGGCGATATTGGTAGACTGGGAAGACATTGGCCCATGGCTGGCCATTGATCGCTTGGCCGAAGATTTTTCAACCAAAAAGACAAGGGGGGTTAGGTTTACGCGATCTGCATTCTTTTAATCTTGCATTATTAGGAAAGCAGGTCTGAAGGTTAATCTGGTTCCCTAATAGTTTATTATCCCGAATCTTGAGGGCCAAATATTTCCCACATGGTGATATTCTGAATGCGAGACAAGGAGATAGAAGTTCTTATGCAAGGAAATGCATTTTCAGGGTGCTTCAGTCGATGGAAAGAGCCATTTATAGGCGCATTGGTATTAATAGTCAGCTGAACCTGGTTACGGATAAATGGGGTGGTTCTACAAAGGTGACGCACATAGGGAATTACTCTTCGTACCCGCTAGCAAGATTTCAGACTTTATTATTAATGATACCAGATTTTCCTACTTGGATTGAATCGAGCGTTCGAGAGGTGTTCACGAGGGCAGATATCGATGCGATCTTAGCTACCACTATTACCCCATGTTCTGAGGAGGTTATTATTTGATGCTATCATTATTTCGGTATGTACTCATTTCGGTCTGGTTATTTGTAGCTACAACGTCAGCAACACTCACCAGGCCACACATCTCCTGTTTGACAGATCATTGCTAAATTACCGATTATTCCAAAAATACATATATTTATGTGGTTCTTGGCGCATGATGGACTTTTGATGGTAAACATCTTCGGGAAGCAGTTTAAGATCTAGATTGTGTCCTATGTGCCAAGCTGATGAGGAAACAACTGCTCATGCTTTGCGTGGCTGTCGATATGCCCAGATGGCCATGCATGAGGATGATTTTTCTGGGGTACCTCGTTTCGCGCCCAGAGAATCTAGTTTAAGTTGAGTAGAAGCATTATTGGAATTTTTCGCAGTGGAATGTTTCGCTGATTTTGCGGTTCTACTTTCGAATATATGGAATGGAAGGAATACACTAGTCCATGAGGATAAACTTCAACCTCCGTGACTTATAGATGTAAATACGTAGGTGCTACAGAATGCGTTTAAATTAGCCAAGAATCCCACTGTTCATGGAGCAACACGCACAACTATTGGAGTTCCACCGCGATAGGCGTCGACCAGTGTTGCGCAACAGAAGTGGCGTCCGTCTGACTCTGGAGTTTTTAAAGTTAATGTACAATTATCTTGATTTATAAAAAAATGAATTGTTTTGTAGTTCAAAAAAAAATGAGAATGAAGCACGTGTCTTGCTCTTCCTCAACAAACCCAACCCCTTAAAAATAGAAAATTTGAATAACAGTCATTGACCAAAATAAAGTGAATGCCTCCCTATAAATTTACACTCTTTTACAAGCTTTAATAACCTAGAAAAACAAAATGACAAAAGCTTCTACGATCGCCCTTGTTTCCTTAGCGATTTACATATCGTCGTCGTCCTTTAAATTTGCCTATGCAACTGGTGCAGCTGCGCCTGAGGCAGCTGAATCAAACAAGTTCAAAGTCGCAGGCCACGTATACTGCGACACTTGCCGTGTTGAATTCGAGACCAAGATTAGCAAACCTATAAGTGGTGCGGTAGTGAAACTGGAATGCAGGAACCGTACCGATGGAGCCCTTACCTTCCAGAGCCCGGAAATAACGACGACGCAATCGGGAGACTACAGCATCGATGTGGAAGGAGATTATGAGGATTCAGATTGCGACGTCGCGTTGGTGAGGAGTTCCTGGCCGGATTGTAGTGATCTGACAGAAGAGTGGAGAAAAGCCAGGGTTGTTCTCACCTCGCTCGACGGCGTCAGCGGCAACATTCGGTTTGCGAACAGTCTCGGGTTCAAGAAGAAGGAAGCTCTCCCTGAGTGTAAGAAAGTTCTTACGGAGTTGGGCTATTATGAGCTACAGAAAGAACTTGGAAACGAAGCTGTCCCTTGAACACAACACACAATAGGGGAAACCAGATTATGAGTTTTCATTATGCCTTTCATTGAAAGCTTCACTTCTTCTAATGTAATAAAATTTTAGTAATTATCTTTTCCATTTAGAACTAAGGAGGTTTTAATGAAGCATAGAATTAGTGATATTTATTGAATTATTTTAATAAAACTATCTCATACTTTTTACTTCCCTTTCGAGTCACTCAGATCACTAGGTTTATCGTGGTCTGAACATCGTCATAAAAAAAATATGATATTCAATACATATGTTAGTATTCTACTAACATAATTTATTTCTGATAAAATAATTTCTATAACGCATAATCGATACTAAATCAATATAAAACTAAATAACAATTCTATCATAACTTCAAACTTTTCTAAAACAGCTATTAGATTCCATAAATTTTCATTTTCATCATCAATCCTTCATTTTTCAGAAACTTTGCACATAAATCCCCATTTATGAATTCTCTTCCGAACTCATTCAAAATAGTCCTTCACCATTTTATCTTATTCCAACCAAACAATAAAAATTCCAGCATATAACTAATATCCTCAATCCAATACTTTAACATTTAAAAACTTGCGATTTCTTCCTTAATTTTCCCTAGCCTTTTCGAATTCAACCACTAATTTTACCAACTTGCAATTTGATCACAAATATAAACTTAAACTTAAAAATCAGCATTTCAAATAAACATTCCCATCATTATAATTTCATACTCAACTAGTGTCTTCACATTTGCAAACTTTCAATTAGGTCCTTAAATCTCAAGAGCTTTCGAATTTCACTTCGCAACTTGTCAAATTTACACTTTGATCCTCAAATCAACATTCTGACTTAAAATTCAGGATTCATGTAACACCCCTAACCTGTATCCGACCTGAATACGAATCCGAGGTGTCATATTGACTTTTCTAATCATATATTATTAACAAATAAGGACAATTTAAATTTTTATTCATAATAAAAATGTGAAAACCTTTAATTTAAAGTATTTAATAAACACACATTCATACTTTAATAAAAGCTTTAATAATTTACCAAAAATATAAGTTTATAAAAATAGATCAGAGCATTTCAAATTAAACTTGTTGTACTTTCCAACAATTTACAAAATTACAAGAAGCTACATGGAAAATCGTCAATTAACGTGAAATTGTCATTTTACCCTTAATGAAAAATGATAATTTCAACTTGCCATAGGAATATCTTCCATTTTAATATTCCAAATATAAATATGAACAAATAAAAATTCACTTTCAACCTTTGCCCTTGTAATTTTCAAAAATTACAATTTAGTCACTAAAATTTACAATTTCATCTTAACATGGAAAATCGACCTTAATTTCACTGATCCATGTTATATTTCATCGTTCTAAATTATGGAAATAATATTTCTAACATATTTACATCATCCTTCAATTTTTCATGAAATTTCGGTTCAATCCGATTATCCGATTTCTTGTCGAAATTTACTGCTTTATAGCTTTTAATACAAATCTCATATCAAAATTTTGATTCCCACGAAAATGTTAAATTTCGAGAAAAACTATTAATTTGTTAGACAAAATATATATCTTTTAGAAATTACATTTTTAGTCCTTAAATTTTACAAATTTATACTTTGGCCATTAAAGTTTTTAAACTTACATTTTGGTCACTACCGAAAATTTGGGGTATTACACATATGGTTCTAGTAACTTATAATTTTAGAGTATATAAAAAGGATGTATACACAATCTCTTAATATAAGTAATAAAAGATTATTATTTACTCTTATAATGTGTTATATATTTATATAATTTCATAACAATAAACACTCAAGAAATATTTTCTTTTTTGAGGAAAATATATTTGAGCCAAGCCTTGGCCTAAAAATAGGCTTTACAGCTTAGACCCAAACCATCAAACATATAGGTGCCTAAAGTATTTTTCGACCCATCCAAGTGCCTAACGTTGCCAACGTTACCACTTTAGGTGCCCGGGAAGTAACGACCGTTAAATGAAAATTGTTATCCATTCATTTGATGACATGTGGCCATGATTTGAATTTCGTTTCCAAATTTCTATAAAGGCTTAAGATTAAAATAAGTGTCCAACCTATACTATTTTTTCGAATAGGTTCCTAAAGTATTTTTTGGCCCATCTAGTTCTTAAATGAGTTCCAAGGAAAGTATATCAGTAAGGCTCACATAGATGGTTTGATGATGAAGTTCTCTCAGTTGGTTCAGAGGGACGATTCCGAGTTTCTTCTAGCAGAATATGACAGTCAGTGGATCAAGTCAGTGCTACGACACTTCTTTGCCGATTGGGGGCCAAATACCCAAAGACTCGACGGAGTAAGTTGGCGGGTGTATGGTTATGATGCAGAATTTCATACCTAACCCATGTGTGCCTGTGGGTAAATCGACAGTGCTAGAAGGGCGCGTGAGCTCCGAGATACAGAATGTGTTTCCTTGTGTAGATTCTTAGAGGCAGATCGTGGGGAGTTATCGTCATTAGACATGGAATAATATAAAAAAATTAAACTCAAACTAATAATTCACAAGAAAATTTAAACAAAACAAATAAAATTTAATTTCTTGAACTTACTTGTCATTTTGTTATTAATTATCTTAAATATGTCATATTGTTTTTAACTGATTTACGTTATAAAAAATGAATTGTTTTGTTGTTAAAAAAAATGAGAATGAAGCACGTGTCTTGCTCTTCCTCAACAAACCCAACCCCTTAAAATAGAAAATTTGAATAACAATCATTGACCAAAATAAAGTGAATGTCTCCCTATAAATTTACACTCTTTTACAAGCTTTAATAACCTAGAAAAACAAAATGACAAAAGCTTCTACGATCGCCCTTGTTTCCTTAGCGATTTACATATCGTCGTCCTTCAAATTTGCCTATGCAACAGGTGCAGCTGCGCCTGAGGCAGCTGAATCAAACAAGTTCAAAGTCGTAGGCCACGTATACTTCGACACTTGCCGTGTTGAATTCGAGACCAAGATCAGCAAACCTATAAGTGGTGCGGTAGTGAAACTGGAATGCAGGAACCGTAGCGACGGAGCCCTTACCTTCCAGAGCCCCGGAAATAACGACGATGCAAACGGGAGACTACAGCATCGATGTGGAAGGAGATTATGAGGATTCGGATTGCGACGTCACGTTGATGAGGAGTTCCTGGCCGGATTGTAGTGATCTGACAGACGAGTGGAGAAAAGCCAGGGTTGTTCTCACCTCGCTCGACGGTGTCAGCGGCAACATTCGGTTTGCGAACAGTCTCGGGTTCAAGAAGAAGGAAGCTCTCCCTGAGTGTAAGAAAGTTCTTACGGAGTTGGGCTATTATGAGCTACAGAATGAACTTGGACGCGAAGCTGTCCCTTGAACACAACACAATAGGGGAAACCAGATTATGAGTTTTCATTATGCCTTTCATTGAAAGCTGCACTTCTTTTAATATAATAAAATTTTAGTAATTATCTTTTCCATTTAGGACTAGGGAGGTTTTAATGAAGCGCATGAAACACAATCAACAAATTATGAATTGGAGTAGAAAATCACCTCCAAATGGTTTGATCGTGTAACACCTCCATCTTAAATCTGACACCGAACAAGAGTCAAAGATGTCACATGATATAAAGTACAAATAATAAAAATAAATCATATAATAAAAATACAAAACAAATAATATGATATTACATTATTAGATTTTTTTGGCCAAATAATTCAGATGAAAAAAATTGAAAAATACATGTACTTGAGTATTAACTTGAGATCTAGGTTATTTACTACAGTACGCGTAGAACTCGTTATGAGGGAATGACAATTTCTATAAAATATAATAAATAATTAGAACTTATCACGAGGACATGACGATCATACAATTTTTATCGGGTCCATATGATGCGTTTTATTTTTAATATATTTCATGGAACTTGTCATTCTCTCACGACGAGAATGACGAGTTTCACGTACAATATAAAATATTATCTAGATCTTAAAATAATTCTGTAACATTTGCATTGTTTAATTTTTTTTCCTGAACATAATATCTCCTAATTTTATATGTGACGCATCTAATTTAAAATAATCATAAATTATGAACAGTTTAAAGAATGGACTCAAAACGTTTAGATGTAATTAGGGGTGTATAAAACTTGATTTGATCTAAAAAAATTGTTTTAAATAAACTCAAATTTCATATATTCATCAACATAAAATCATAACTTGGGTTGTTCATACCTTAAAATAATTCAAATAACATTTCTAAAATCATTAAAGAAATATTTCATCATTAAAAATCATACCATTCTTTAAAATCATGTTAGAAAATTCATTTGAATACCTTTTTCAGGAAATATCATATAAAAACATATTAGGCAATTTCATTCCCAAAGAATAATCATAAGTCCTTTATACGACACTATGGAAATATTCAATAATTAAAATAAAATCATACTTTAAAAATAATATAAGGTTGACTTATCGCAAGTCTTTCTCGATCAGAACAAATAAATAAATAAATTGCACTCAACTTTGTCTAACTATCGGACATTTTCTTATAATATTCTTTTTAATCTCATAATTTTTACTTCCCTTTCGAGTCACTCAGGTCACTAGATTTATCGTGGTCTGAGCATCATCATAAAATAATATGATATCCAATACATATGTTAGTATTCTACTAACATAATTTATTTCCGATAAAATAATTTCTATAAAGCATAATTGATACTAAAGCGATATAAAACTAAATAACAATTCTATCATAACTTCAAACTTTTCTAAAACAGCTATTCGATTCCATAAATATTCATTTCCATCATCAATCCTTCAACTTTCACAAACTTTGCACTTAAATCTCCATTTATGAGTTCTCTTTCGAATTCACATCAACTTTTCATTTAATTCAAAATAGTCTTTCACCATTTTATCTTATTCCAAACCAAACAATAAAAATTCCAGCATATAACTAATATGCTCAATCCAATATTTTAATATTTAAAAACTTACAGTTTCTTCCTTAATTTTCTCTAGCCTTTTCGAATTCAACCACTAATTTTACCAACTTGCCATTTGATCCCAAATATAAACTTAAACTTAAAAATCAGCATTCAAATAAAAAATTTCCATTATTGTAATTTCATACTCAACTAGTGTCTTCACATTTGCAAATTTACAATTAGGTCCTTAAATCTCAAGAACTTTTGAATTCCACAATGTAACTTGTCAAATTTACACTTTGATCCTCAAATCAACATTCTAACTTAAAATTCAGGATTCCTGTAACACCCCTAACCTGTACCCGACCTGAATACGAATCCGAGATGTCAAATTGACTTTTCTAATCATATATTATAAACAAATAAGAACAATTTAAATTTTTATTCATAATAAAAATGTGAAAACCTTTAATTTAAAGTATTTAATAAACTCACATTCATACTTTAATAAAAGCTTTAATAATTTACATAAATACAAAAATATAAGTTTATAAAAATAGATCAAAGTATTTCAAATTAAACTTGTTGTACATGCCAATAGTTTACAAATTACAAGAACCTACATTTAATTTGTCTTGATCTGATCTTCATGGGAGTATGTTATCCTCAACTAGCTTCAATCTTCTGATTTCTTCAAACCTACGTGTGAAACAATCACACCCTAAGTCGATGACTTAGTGAGGCAAATACGAGAGAAAACTAAACTTTATAAACGAAATATTTATTTATTTGATAGAACATTTCATAAAGAGTTCCAAATTGTTTTCCATAACAAGAAGATATACTTTTATTCATTATTCGTTTTATATAACTTTGTTTTCAAATGCCCAACGTATACTACTGAGAACTCTAGGTATTTGAGTACATTGAGATTGTGCACTAATGTTATCACCACAACTTACATAATTTGCACTGATACGCCACATAATTGTCCTGAAGCACCAGATAGGTTTGTCCCGAATGACCACATAGAACCCTTGACTCTTGGCATGCCAACTATACCTCTAATCCTCATACACATACCTTGGGATTTAAACCACATAATTATTTTTCATTCATTATTCAAAGTATCTCTTATTCACATAGGCACTTTCACATTGAGTATTTTCGAATACACATGTTCACATGTCACATTTTCATAATCATATACACATAATCATCAAACATAGCTTACATAATATAAATTGAATAAAACATTGTGAAAATATATCATAAAAGAAATTGGAAGGTTTTCGATCGAAAACACTGAGGTTGGCTTATCGCAAGCCTTCCTCAAATCTAATATAAAAATGTAAGGTATGGCTCATAAATATACCAGTAAAGAGGACAGGGGATGGAGCGAAGTGAGCGAGGACGTAATTATGTACCAGGGTTTTCTATTATAAATAGAGATGTAACCTAAACCTATGAGATATTGAATAAAACTTCTAGCGCCGCCTAGGCACCTAGGACGTAAGCACATTGCCGAACCTCGTTAAAATTCTTGTGTTCTTTCGTTTACTTTGCCCGATTCTTCAACAATTGGTATCAGATGTCAGGAGCAAAATTCGAAGTTGCGAAATTCGATGATCAGGGTAACTTTGGATTATAGAAAACAAGGGTGAAGGATCTGTTAGAGCAGTAGGGGATCCTGAAGGCTTTGTGACCTACAAAGCCGGCGTCGATGGAGGAGGAAGATTGGGAAGAATTGCAACAGTGAGCGGCAAGAACCATACGATTATGTTTGACAGACGAGATCATGTATCATGTCATGCATCTATCGTCTCCAGATGAAATTTAGAAGAAGTTGGAAAGTCAGTTTATGTCCAAATCCTTAACGACAAAACTGTATCTAAAGCAGCGGCTGTATGGGTTGAAGATGCAGGACGATCATGATTTGGCCCAACACGTGAATATCTTCAATCAAATTGATTCTGATTTGGCTCGGTTTGATGTCAAAATTAAGGATGGAGACAGAGCGATGATTCTGTTGTGTTCGTTGCCTCCCTCTTACGAACACATGGTGACTACTCTTACATATGGTAAAGAGACTATCAACATTGAGGAGATTACTGCAGCCTTATTGGCTCACAACCAGCGGAAGTAGAAAGAATGGATAAGCTCTCAAACCGATAGCTTATATGTCAAGGGTAATCGAGACCGTGGATGGAAGCCAGAGAAGGTAGGGTCTGCTAAGAAGAATTCCAGATCCAAATCTAAGGATAAGAAGACAATTCACTATTACAAGTGCAAGGAGGTGGGACATATGAAGCGAGACTGCCCGAAGTTGAAAAAGAAGACTGATGAGAAGCGTGATGATTCATCCAAGTCTGTGAATGTGGTCGAGGATGACAATTCTAATTACAATGAGGGTGATATGCTCTCTATTTCAACGACTCAATTGACGGATGTTTGGATTCTTGATTCTGGATGTTCTTATCACATCACGCCAAATAGGGAATGGTTTTTGAGATACATGTCAGTTAATTCTGGTTCTGTTTATTTGGGTGATGATCGATGTTGCAATATTGTTGGTATTGGTGAGGTCAGAATTAAGATGTATGATGGCTCTATTCAGACGTTGAGTGGTGTTCGGCATATCCCAGATTTGAAGAAGAATTTGATTTCTTTGGGCACTTTGCACAAGAATGGTTTTATCCCTAAGGCTTATGAGGATAAGGAAACCATTCGGATTGTTAAAGGAGCTTTGACTATGATGAAAGGAAAAATGATTGCAGGGGATATTTATAGATTGTTAGGGAGTACCGTTGTAGGTGGAGTTCATTCTGTTGAGTCCTGTGATGATACTACCAAACTGTGGCATATGCGTCTTGCTCATCTTAGTGAACGTGGTATGGATGAATTACATAAAAGAAATATGTTGCATGGTGTTAAAAGTTGTAAGCTCAATTTTTGCAAGTATTGTGTCTTTGGTAAACAGACTAAAGCTCATTTCAAGACTGTGAAGCACACAACTGAAGGGGTTCTTGATTATGTGCATTCTGATGTATGGGGTCTTTCCACGACATCGTCTTTGGGTGGATCTAGGTATTATGTTACTTTCATTGACGATTTTTCACGGAAAGTTTAGGTGTATTTTTTGAAACAGAAGTCTGACTTTTTTGAGAAGTTCAAGCTGTGGAAAGCTGAGGTAGAAAACCAAACAGGACAAAAAATCAAGTGTTTGCGACCTGACAATGGTACGGAGTACACAAATACACAATTTCTAAACTTCTATAAGAAGCACGGGATTAAGAGGCATTTTACAGTGCGATAAACACCACAACAAAATGGTGTTGCGGAATGAATGAACAGGTCGTTGAATGAAAGAGCCAGATGTTTGCGGTTGAATGCGGGGCTTCCCAAATACTTCTGGACTGAGGTTGTTAACATGGCGTGTTAT